ATGATTCAGGCTGTCAAGAGGAGCAGAGTTGTGCTCGGGCAGAAGGGATGACGACCTATGATGAACAGCGGTGACGCAACGCCGCGTCGCGAGACCGCCGTGTCGCTCGAGGAGGGTGGCGCGATGAAATTGGTCGCGTGCGTGCGAGGAGGAAAGAATTCATCCAGCAGTGGATCGACCACGGCTGATCGTGATGGAATTATACGGAGAGTGCAACCCCCCACCCCGCGCCCCCCGAAAGAGAACATTCGTGAAGCGCTCGTGGCTTTAGTGTTTTGTTTGCAATTTGCGGATTAAGTTGTAATTTAGTGACACCGTGGCTCGAAGTTCAGAGGGCCTTTATGGCAGACGGCGACAGCGAAGTGGATTATTCGGGCAGTTATTTGTTGCCCTGAAATTGATTTCTCTCGAAAAAAATATAAACAACGGCAGTTTTACTTGGCAGCGCCGTGCGTTAATTACGGTGACGGCTACTCTGCTGCTACTGCACGCTGCTGCCTCTAATCATCCAGCACTGCGCAGACAGCAGCTAGGGTTGGTGGATCACCGCACAGATGGGGTGGTGAAACTCCCTTCTTCCCATGTGCGTCGAGGGGATGCCATCCCCTGGCTCTGCCAGGAGAAGATGGTACGGCAACCGTGGACTCCACACGTTCTGTCGGTATGGGATAGTTTCAGCGGTGGCCAACTGGCGTCTCCCGAGCCGCATGCGGCTCTTTAATCCACAGCACGTGACTGTATCGAAGGGGCATAACGTAGAACGTACTTTCACAGGAGTAGCACAGAAAAATGAATGTCACCCGTGCTGTGCCGAAAACTGTCAATATACACACTTATTCATAAAAATATGTACACTTTTCAGAACTCATGGGAACTTGTTTGGCTCTTGGTCCATTACAGGTTGGCGACCCCTGGGATAGAGCGTTGCCCCCTCGCTCGCGTGGGTTTTCTCCGGGTCCTCCAGGTTCCCCCCACATGTAAACACTCATTAATTGGATGAAAACATCTTCAAACATAGAGAGGATCGCAGAGCTTGGGCAATTTGTTGGCACCAGCTCACCCGTGGCTGCCGCCTTCCAGCTTGCTTGTGGTTCCTCCTCGTGCCCGTGAGTCATTCGGATACTGTGCTGTGGCGCCTTACACGCTGAAATTTTTACCGAATAATGACCCTAACTTACGGCTCTTGATCAACCGCGAGACGAAGTCCTTCCCCCCTCGTGGTCGTCCGAGAGATTGTTTGAGCCAGACTTCATCACGCAGGTCAGCGTGGGTCGGTGTACGGGAGGTGCAAGGGAGTGGTTCGAACACACCACGCCACTGATGTTAGCCGTGGCCAGGAATGGAACGTTGTTGGGTTGTCGAGTCCGTGGTGCAGTGCGCTGACCGCTGTATCACCGCTGACCACATCGCGGAGCGCCCACACACGGAGCTGAATTCGTCGCTCCATCTCCTCGACAGACGTCCTTTCGGACACGTTCCCAGTCCTCAGCTGCCACTCCGTTATGATTCTGGATCATCGGCCATCGTTCCTTCTGGTGGCGTGTCCCGTACAAGCCCCACGTACTTTTTCTCGACAGGTCTGCATGGTGGTGCCGCTAACCTACACGCGTTCTCTAATCTACGCGCTCTTCTCTCTGTCTCTCGATGTAATTTCAAAATCGTGCACCTATCTCCCTCCGCGCTTCTTTGAGGCATCGCGCAGGGCCGCACCCAGAGGCATGAATGGGGACATTTTCTCCGAGCCCTATCGCACTAAAGAGGGTACCACAGCGGCCCTGTTCTCGTTGTTGGTAATGATGAAGGCGGCTCCAAGTGGCACCCTGCCGCAGGCACCTCCTATTAGCACGGTTGGCTACGTGCGGTTCCAAAAAGAAGTTCAACATGCGTACATGCAGGCCTCAAAGGCACACTCTGGCCAATGTCCTCATAAAGAAAGTGCCATAGCGTGTTACGGTTGCTCCGCCGTGGTGCCGTGGCAGGGCCCAGCGCTCGAATGTTTGCCGCTTGCTGCAGAAGTTCACGGTTCGAATGCGGCAGGCCACCCTGGTTATTACCGGGCGTGTATTAATTTGAGTGACATGCCGTTTAACTTCACGGTGGAGGACGTTGGAGATCTCGTGACGTCGTTTGAAACGAGTGAGACGTCGCGTGGCCGGGGTCACGATCCACATAAAAAAAAACAATTCTGGAAAACTCTCCGCAAATGACCCAATTGGGATAACGCGTAGAACTCATCCTCCCCGTGCTGGCGACCTGGCGCTCGCGCTCAGGCACAGGAACAGCTGCCAGTGGGGGTGCCCCTTTCAAAACGCGCTGCGATGAGAAACGACGCGATGCGGGTGGCTTATCGGCGTGGAGGCGGGCGGCTCCGTAAAAACCACAACATCATTACTAATATTATTACTCTTGTTATTATTATTATTTCATGCCCCAGCTGCCATATGTCACCGGCGGGGAAATTGTATTTCGGCTCAGCCGCTTAGAAATATAAACCGAGCCGGGGCTGAACTCCGCCGTCCCATTCACTAAATTGTATTTCGTGCGATGCCGATTGTGAGTGGGAGCACGACCGGAGAGGCTCTGATGCCCAATGAACCCGCTGTTAATCTACACGCCCTCGACCGCCACTTTGTCACTGCGGGAGCTATCGCATGTCGCGCTCGGGTTGCGTTTAGCCGATGATCTACGGCAAATACGTTACGTTCCGTCAGATAGCTCGGCGGGCAGGAAGTGTTTAGCACAGCGGTTCTCAATCACCCAACGCCCCCCTCCTCCTCCGCTTCCGCCACAGCCCCCCTGAGAGCAACGAAAGCCTTTGAAAGGGTGCAGGCGACGGCATGGGTACCGTGCAGGAGAAGTGCGTGGTTGGGGGTAGGGGGGGCGTGTTAGCGTCAAGTTGGGCTGACGAAACACACGGATTGACGAAATACACTTCACCACCAGCAATACACAATGTGAACCCCGTGCCTCACGAACACGACGCTAATGCGCGGCACGACACGTGACGTCTTTGTTAAACACCGCGTTCACTGGAGGCGTGGACGCGTCGCCCGTGTTTCCGCGGTTATGGAAACGGCGAACGTTGGACGAACTTCGCACGTAACGTTGTGACGCGATACAGCGCTGGGTAAGCGAAGCGATCTTGCGTTTGTCTGCCGTGCGTTCCGCCAGGGAATCTCACATCACCCCCGTGTGCATCGCAGGATCGGCCGTGACACACATCGCTTCATTCTACTCGTGTGTGCATTCCGCTGGGCCTCCCCCCCCCCCCCCCCAGCTATCGCTCACACGGAGTTCACAGCGCCACGTGGAGCAGCTGGCACGTTACACGAAGGATAACGCGGCAGGAACCTTGCCCCGCCTAAGCTTGCGTCTCTCATCTCTTAACGCTCCGTCCCACCGTGCACTCTACGCTCCCAGTCTCTGCTGTCCCTCACTGAGCCTCCCTCGCCCTGCTGCGCCTCGTTCTCTCTCCCCTCTCGCTCCCCTTCACTGGAACCAGCTCCCCTATCACTACCCTTACCACGACCCCTATCACACCCCAACCCCTATCACTATCCCAACGCCTGCTTAACCACTCCCGCCTGTTGACCTGGTCACCACGACTACACCGCCACGTTTAATGAGTTTTAATAACACCATTCTCTAGAATCTCAACCACTAGCATCTTAGGTACAATTTTCGAATTGGTGTAAAGCACCTCCGATCGAGGCGCTATATCAATCGAAAAAAATCGGTCATCACGTGTGCGCCATCGGCCGTTCCAACTTGTGGGCAACATTTGATTACAGCATCGCTAACGGTGTTCGCAAAAACGGGTACACTTTGAAGAATAACCTCCCGCCACAGGTCCTAAATGTCGCACCGACATTTAATTGTCTCGACGTTGTGACTTTCTGCTCACGTGGGGGGGGGGGGGGGTGTTCATTTCACGTGGCGAGGTTGCTCCGCTCACGAGGCCAACGTGGATTTGATTTGGTTCTAAGCGGGGGTTCTCTTTCATTCCTTTGTAAAACATTTATTTCTGTTTTTAGCTCTGCACGGCACCTTGCGACCTCCGGGTGAGGGGTGCTTGGCGAGAGTAAATTATTGTTGTTGTTATAATGAAGAGTTTAGAAGGGGTGGGCAGGAGTGCGGCATGTAGCGCTGCGCTGCGCTACGAACCCGGCGACCCGAGTTCGATTCCCGCTCACGCCCACCAACACCGGTGACGATTATTATCCCAACCGATCCTCTGCTAGGCCGACTCAGAGCTAGACAAAGGCTGCCTGGCTTGGTTTCGGCCACACCAGCCCCTTTGCGTGCCATTCCGGCCTTGACAGGTGCTGCTACTCGCTCGCAGCACTTTCCCCCGGCTATACGGGAAATCTTTGTCTGTGTCCGGGGTGATCGTCACCCGCGTGGCAAGGCGGTCGTAGATTGAGTCTCCTGTCGCGGGGTGTCAAAACGGCGCTTCGCTGTTGCTCTGCTCTGGGGCTCCGACGCGCTAAGTCGCCTGATCTGAGAGGCAACTCAGAGAGAGGAAGAGAGAGAGAGAGACATCATCAACCCGCGTCAATCGGGACCGTTCATTGGCAACGTCCGCCCGTCACTCCGTGCCTCTCGCGTGATGTGTACTTGCCGTTGCATGTGCACGAACTTCTTTCGCACCGCATGTAACCAATGGTGCTATAAACTACAGTTATTTTGTTTAACCAGGTAAGGCCGACTGAGCTATGTAGCTCTTTTTCAGAAGCGACCTGGCCACAAACGATAGCTCAACAAAGTGGGTTATCACGTGGATAATTATTTAGAGTAGCCAAACATTCTAAACGCGTGTTTCTAAAACCAGAGGACCCGGAGAGAAATCCACACGACCACGGAGAGAGAATGCGCAAACTCCAAACACACACGCATCAGAGTCGGGATCGAGCCCACGACCTGCTGTATACCAGGCGAGATAGTCATCATCTCGACACCGTGGTGCCTTGACCTTCTCCGCCCCCCCCTGCCCCCCCCAGGAGAACCCGTACATGTGCAACAACGAGTGCGACGCCGGCACGGGCGACCTCGCGCACCCCGTGGACCTCATGTTCGACTACGAGGGCCGCAACCGGCCCACGTACTGGCAGAGCGCGTCGTGGCGGCACCACCCGCGGCCGCTGCAGGCCAACCTCACGCTGTCGTGGAACAAGAGCGTGGAGCTCACCGAGGACGTGGTGGTCACGTTCGAGTACAGCCGCCCCAAGGCCATGACGCTGGAGAAGTCTCTGGACTACGGGCGCACGTGGCAGCCGTACCAGCACTACGCCGACGACTGCGTCGACGCGTTCGGAATGGAGGCGCGCAGCAGCCGCGAGCTCGACAAGTCGGCGGTGACCGCGGTCATCTGCACGGAGGAGTACTCGCGCGCGTACGTGTGGGAGGACGCCAAGACGGTGCGCTTCGAGGTGACGGACCGCTACGCGCTGTACGCGGGCGCCGACATGCAGAACCTGGCGTCGCTCTACGGACGCCTGGACACCAACCGCGGCCTGCGCGACTTCTTCACGCTCACCGACCTGCGCCTGCGGCTGCTCCACCCGGCGACGGGCGGCACCTCCGTGGACACGGCCAACCTCAGCAAGTACTTCTACGCCATCTCCAACCTGCGCGTCAGAGGCAGGTGGGTTCTTCTTCCTTCTTACCTCCCGCCGCTTGGAAGCGGTTGGCCATCGCGGTCGGTCGACCAGTTGGCGGCTGCCGGGTCCGTTCCGTGACCTCCTCGCGCGATCGTCTCGGTGTGTCACCCTCGACTGGCACATGCGCTGAGTGGTGGAACGGCTGTTGTTGTTGTGTAGTGGTGGTGGTGTGACGGTGGTGCCGGGTGCTGAGACGGTGGAGAGTGATGTTGTTTTGCCTGCTCAGACGTGATGCTGCCGTCGGCAGTGGTGCACAAAGCACTCATACTAAAAGTTCAACACGCCCGTCAATAATCCTGCCCTAGAGAGGATTGTATATAATAGGCGAACGTTTCGGGCAATGGCCCTTCTTCATGGTAGAGAGAGATGAAGACGAAGGGCTGTTTTCCGCAATGTCGCCCGTTACGCGTGTTGCCTCGTTTGTGCGGTGTTAATGACGCAATGCGGTTTATTTCGAATTTTATTTATTTAATTTAGTTAATATTTTTTTCAAGGGAAGCCACACTGGGTCATAGGATATTTTTCTAGGAGGGTCCCTTAAGTTTTTACTCGTTAGGCGTTTTCAGCCAATTAATGTTTACAATGCGCTTGGGAGGAAACTGGAGCACCCGGAGAAAACCCACTCGTGCAAGGGGGCAACGCTCTATCCCCGTATCGATGGAATAAACAGATGGCGATTGAGTCTACTTGCTGAAACAGGGGTATGGCACCTCCTCGCAGCAAACGGGAAGGGAGTCCCACAACATAATCTGCGTGCGGTGATCCACCAACCCTTGCTACAGTGCCGGAGTATTACAAAGCGCAACCGCGTAGAAACCATCACCACTGACCCGGCCTGTGAACCAGCGTCACGAATCATCGTTTATAAATTGTCGCCAGTCGCCCAGACAGACAGACAGCAGCAGTTCCGTCCGAGCCCGCCGGGCCAGTGAAGTGGAACAAGTTCAGTTGACTCCCCTCCACCCACCACCCCACTCGACCCTTGGGTCAGCACCACCCACCCGGTTTACTATTCAGCTCAGCGCGCGCGGATTATTCCACTTCGTGACCGGAGGCTCGAAGTGACGCCGACAGCCGCACCACTCCACCTCCTCCCTCACCTAGCCTTGAACCCTGACACCCCCACCACCCCCTTATCCATATCTCAAGTGCCGCTTTAATTACACTGTTCCCGGCTGCTGGCAAACACTATTATTCCACGAATTAATTGTCTGTTTTCAGAAAACATTTAATAGGCGTGGGGATACCAATTATCTCCCGATCGTGTTAGGCGACGCCTCGGAGGCCGTGGCAAATCGTTCGCATCACGGTTACCGTCCGCGCGCACTCGATGAGAGACGCGCGTGCCGAGGATTCGAGCGGAATTAGCAACGGAGACGGCGACACCCGAAACTTTCGCAGCGGGCTGTGGCGGAGCGCTTCAACGAGCCCGCGGAAAGAGGGTAGGGGGGGCACATCGCGATGCGATCTCAGCGACGCACAAAGACGAAAGCCCCCCCCCCCTCCCCTCCCCTCCCGTGTAGGCTTAACAGGACTGTCGAGGCAAGTGATGTGAGCGAGTAGCTACGAAGGGCGGCACGGCGGATGACGTGGGCCGGGAAAGCACCACGCATGCCCGGTCGCCTTTGTCTCACCAGCGGTGATATTTACACACCGGCACCAGATACTCATTTTAAGGCTCGGTCGATCGAGAGGGGAGGCCCAGGAAGCGGGGTTCGTAGTGCAGCTCGCTGACCACTGACACCCCCCCCCCCCCTGCACATGTGAGCGATACGCACGCCACGCACGCCACGCGTGCAAGACACCAACAGGAGGGGCCATTCGACATCCACGAGACGCCGTATTAATCTTGCCCTGATGCACTTCCCTAATTTGGAATTAGAGGATTGATTTTTTTGCGTGCAAAAGAGAGTTTTATCTGATTTCTTCATCCCAAAATCCCTCTTCATTTCCATCGCAATATCCCGGATTGCATAAAATCCCATCAAATTAAAATGGACTGCACAGGATGGGTGGTGCGTGAGGAGTGGGGGGAGTGGGTGGGTGGGAGTAGGGGGAGGGAAATAGGGGAGGGAAATAGGGGAGGGGAGTTGTGGAGGGGGGTGTGGGGGGGGGCGAGACCTCTCCTGTCCACACTCCACGTTTCGACCGGTTTTTGAAGTGGTGGCCCAGAGAGAGAGAGAGGGAGAGAGAAAGAGAGATATCGATTTGCATTACTTGAAATAATGATGATCACTTTTAATTACGGGAGTAGCCAACGCCCTTACTCGCGAGTAGGAGCGTGGGAGGGGAAGACCCCACACGGACACGTGGAACCGATGCGGACCGAGGTCAAATCACGCGGTTTGAGTGGACCCGACTGAAAAGCGATTATGTGTTTTGACCGCCGATTATAATCTCCACAGACTCGATACGTATTTATAGGCGCGTGAATATACGTGCGTGCGTGTGTGTATTCTATTATATTGTGCACATATGCCTTTGATCTGTGGAACAATCGCAAAGCTCAAAGCCCTTTAACTTCCATGCTAAATCCCTGCCGGTGATTGTATTTGATAATGCTTTTTGAGATATATTTCACACACTCGCCATGCGCAGCGTGCCCGACAGCTGAACCAGACGAAGCTTTGAACAGACGACTGAGCTGTCAGCGAGCACCCATTGAGGCCAGTAGGACCGCCTTCGTCTTCCCAATGCTGATGTTTTGTACACATAAAAAGACGATGACAAAGATCCCCCTGTGTAGCCTTAACAGACTGTTGGGGCAAGTGGTGTTAGCGAGCACCTATGAAGGTCGGAACGAGGGGGCGGGTGGCCGGCACCATTCCCAACCACCTTTGTCTGCCCAGTGGCGATGTTTACACACCGCACTGGGTACGCATTTAAGACTGAGTCGACCTAGGCGAGGCCCAGGACGGGTTACGATATTCGTCACTGGCGTTGACCGTGAGCGGGAATCGAACTCGAGTCGCCGGGATCGTAGCGCAGTGCGCTAACCGCTCCACCACCGCTCCACTAATGGTAAGAAAAGGGAGCGATCCACACACACAGACACGCATCCCCCATACACACACACGCAACACACACACACACGCAACACACACACGCAACACACGCAACACACACAAACACGCAACACACACACACACGCAACACACACACACAACACACGCAACACACACACACACGCAACACACACACGCAACACACACACGCAACACACACACACGCAACACACACACACGCAACACACACACGCAACACACACACGCAACACACACACACGCAACACACACACGCAACACACACACGCAACACACACACTACACACATACACGCAACACACATACACGCAACACACACACACTACACACACACACGCAACACACACACGCAACACACACACACGCAACACACACACGCAACACACACACGCAACACACACACTACACACATACACGCAACACACATACACGCAACACACACACTACACACGCAACACACATACACGCAACACACACACTACACACACCTACACACATACACGCAACACACACACTACACACACACACGCAACACACACACGCAACACACACACACGCAACACGCAACACACACACACGCAACACACACACACGCAACACACACACGCAACACACACACTACACACGCAACACACATACACGCAACACACACACGCAACACACACACACGCAACACACGCAACACACATACACGCAACACACACACTACACACACACACGCAACACACATACACGCAACACACACACACTACACACACACACTACACACACACACTACACACATACACGCAACACACGCAACACACACACGCAACACACATACACGCAACACACACACACGCAACACACACACTACACACATACACGCAACACACACACTACACACACACACTACACACATACACGCAACACACGCAACACACACACTACACACATACACGCAACACACACACACGCAACACACACACTACACACATACACGCAACACACACACGCAACACACACACACGCAACACACACACGCAACACACACACTACACACATACACACTACACACACACACTACACACACACACTACACACGCAACACACACACTACACACACACACTACACACACACACTACACACGCAACACACACACGCAACACACACACTACACACATACACACTACACACACACACTACACACACACACTACACACGCAACACACACACGCAACACACACACTACACACATACACGCAACACACACACACGCAACACACACACTACACACACACACGCAACACACACACACGCAACACACACACGCAACACACACACTACACACATACACGCAACACACACACACGCAACACACATACACGCAACACACGCAACACACACACACGCAACACACACACGCAACACACACACGCAACACACACACTACACACATACACGCAACACACACACGCAACACACATACACGCAACACACGCAACACACACACACGCAACACACACACACGCAACACACACACACGCACACACACACACGCAACACACACACGCAACACACACACACGCAACACACACACACGCAACACACACACACGCAACACACACACGCAACACACACACTACACACGCAACACACACACACGCAACACACACACGCAACACACACACTACACACGCAACACACACACTACACACACACACGCAACACACACACTACACACGCAACACACACACTACACACATACACGCAACACACGCAACACACACACGCACACACTTGTTTGTCAACCAGTTCAAAGTAGATTTCAATTCATATTATCCTCCGGCTAATCCTCATTAAACTTGCATATTCTTGGAAGAGTGCAGAGTGTGTTGGACCTATTTATCTATTTACTGGATTAATTAGTGCGGAGGAGTTTTTGTTTCGTGATGACCGT